TATCTATGAGGGTTTTTTTTTTTTTTAAGATTCCACATGTAAGTAGGATCATACTGTACTTGTACTTACTTTTCTGTCTTATTTTACTTAGAAAATGCCCTTAAGATGTCCTTCTTTTTAGGATAAATTATATATACACATGCAGAGTGTGTGTGTGTGTGTGTGTGTGTGTGTGTGTGTCTATACTTTTTCCAATGGCTGGAAAAAGTCCAGCCATTGTTAACATAGTGAGAATGATTTGTGTGACATCGATGTAACCTGGCAGCCAAGGAGAATGGACTGTAATGTGCACGCATGAACAACGATGACTTCACTGTACTAGTCAGTCGAGGGCAGTAGACACCATTGTGTGGCTGTTGCATTCAAAATGACTGAGAAGAGCAATGAATCTGCAACAAATGTTACACTAAGCTTGAACATTCCTCCACAGAAACTATTTGGATGACTCAGAAGGCCGCAGCTCTGGGCAACTGGTGATAGGCAGCTTCATCGTGACAAAGCACTTGCAGGTGCATCATGTCTTGTGCAGAGATTTTTGGCGAAAAATCAAATCACCCAGGAGACTCAGCCCTTCTATAGTCCAGATTTGGTGCCTTGTAACTTCTGGCTTTTCCCAAAACTAAATTGCCTTTGAAAAGGAAGAGATTTTAGGCCATCAATGCTATTCAGGAAAAAATGAGGGAGCAGCTGATAGTGACTGGGAGAACTGTGTGAGATCCCAAGGTGCCCTTTGAAGGGGACTAAGGGGTTGTTGTCCTATGTACAATGTTCTTGTATCTTATATCTCCAATTATGTCTCTATTTCTCATATTACATGGCTAGATACCTTATGGACAGACCTTGTATAACACGCTCTGCATCAATTTATCCATTAATAGGCACTTAGGTTGTTTACATGTCTTGGTTATAAATAATGCTGCAAGGAATGGGGATGCAGGTATTTTCTCCACATAGAGTTTTTGTCTTCTTTGGATATAATCCCAGTAAATCTTTGGAGTTCCTGGATCACATGGTAGTTCAATTTTAAATTTTTTGAGGTGTCTTCATACTGTTTTCCATAATGGGTACACCGATTTACTCTCCCACCAACAGCGCACAAATGTTCCCTTTTCACCACATTCTTGCAAACACTTATTTCTTGTCTTCTTGATGGGAGCCATTCTAACAAATAGGATGCGATAGTTCATTGTGGTTTTCACTTACATTCTCCTGATGATTAGTGATGTTGAGCATCTTCTCATGAATGCTGGACTTTTGTCTTTGAAAAAATTTTTACTCAGATCCTCTGCCCATATTTAAGTCTCATTGTTTTTTTGCTAGTTAAGTTTTATGAATTCTTTATATATTTTGCATATTAACCCCTTAGCAGACACATGGCTTGCAAATATTTTCTATTGTGTGTTGCCTTTACATTTTGTTGATTTCCTTTACTGTGCAAAAATGTTTAATGTAGTCCTACTATTTCTACTTTTGTTGCTTTTAAGTGTCATTCAAGAAAAAAAAAAATCACCCAGACTGATGTCAAGAAGGTTACCACCTGGTTTCTTCTAGGATTTTATGGTTTCAGGTCTTCTGTGTCAAGTCTTTAATCCATTTGAGTTAATTCTTAATCCTTTGAGTTAACTTTTGTGCATAATGGTCCAGTTTTTCAAACAGCATGTATTAAAGAGGCATTTTTTTTTCTCCATTTTATGTTGTTGGCTCCTTTGTCATAAACTAATTACCATATATGTGTAGACTTATTTACGGGTTCTGTATTCTGTTCTATTGATGTGTATGTCTGATTTTATGCCAGTACCATACTGTTTTATTGTATACTACAATGTAGTTTGAAATCAGAGAGCTTGATACTTCTAGCTTTGTTCTACCTTTTTATAGTTGACACTGAATAATGTAATGTGGGGTTTCGAGTTACTGACCCCCACACCCTCTGTGCAGTCGAATATCCACATATAAATTTTGACTTCTCCAAAACTTAACTTCCAAATTCCTACTGTTTCTACAGTATATGACCTATACTGGTCATATAAACAGGCAATTAACCCATACTTAGTATTTTATATATTATACTGTATTCTTACCAGAAAGCTAGAGAAAATAATAGTTATGAGAAATACAAATGTTTATTGAAAAAAATCCACGTATTAGTAAACACCTGCATTATTCAAAGGTTAACTGTGATCTAAAGAAAGTATTATGGTTCAGCCCTGGCTGGTGTGGCTCAGTGGACTGAGTGCTGGCCTGAAGAGTCACTGGTTCAATTCTGTCAGGGTATACGTCTGGGTGGTAAGCCAGGTCCCAAGGAGGGGGGTGCATGAGAGGCAACCACACATTGTTATTTCTCTCCCTTTCTCCTTCCCTTCCCCTTTAAAAAATAAATCTTCTTTAAAAAAGTATATTATGTTCAGATAAACTGAGAAGGTGGGAGTTGAGATAGTTAAATGACTACTTAGGCATTTTCTGGGACTAAGGTAGCATTCTCTGGAGTTTTCCAATAGACAGAAAGCCATTAGCCATACGTTCGAAACCTTGATCTCATCTTGCTCCAGTAAGTTATCCTCTCTTGAGCGTTTTTTGATCTATCTCACAGCTACTATTGGTTTTCAGTAAGAACATATGCATTTTAGCCAGGGCTTTTCAGTAAGAGGTTGGACCTAAACAACATCATCAAACATAAAAGGGGGTGTTTTAAAACCAGTACCGAAATTACAGCATTTTTAGAAACAAGGAACAGCTTTGTGAACAGCTTTAGAGATGGGAATGGGGACTATGGTTGCTTCTGTTTGAGACACTTGCCCAGTGTCAAAGGCAGGAATAGTCAGCCCTGAGCCTGTGGACAGGAAGGTGAGAACTGAATGGCAACCTAACCAGAGCCATGCAGTTCCCAAAAGGGCAGCCTGAAGGACAAATGCCATTTGAATCTAAAAATGGTATCACAAATAAAAGTGCTAATACAAATAATATTAATAAACAAATGAATATTCCCCCATGTTCTGGGCATTGTTCTAAGCGTATCTAATGCTTAGGGGAAAGCCCAGGCTATGCACAAAGCACTATTGGGATGTAGTACGGGAGAGGAGTTGGGAATGTAGGTCCAGATGATGAAGGACCTTGAATGGGAGACTAAGACTCGATTTTGACAAGTCAGAGCCTATGCAGGTTAACACACAGAAGATATACAGGCACAGTTCTGTATTAGAATAACTAACCTGGATTAGAGAAGGGAGAAATGGGAGGTGGGGGATTTCCTTAAGAAGCCATTAAAGTCTAAGTTATGCAAGCACCTGAACTCAGTAGGTGGTCATGGGGATAGAAAGAAAAAATAAAAAGCAACCAGTCATCCACATGTCAGGCAGTGGAAAAGAACTGTGAGAAGTGGTGGCTGATTAGAGATAGAGATGAGGGATAAGAAGAGTTCCCCATAGCTAAAAAGCTTCACAGTGAGCCATTAAATGAATGATGGATGGTAATGAACAGGTAAAATGGCAAAGTCAGGAGGTGAGGGGGAGATATCTGGCAGGCAATTCCAAATGTGATATGATGTCTCATGAGAAAACTTGGGGCAGCGAAAAATTAATTTTCTGGTATAAATGAAATTGCAAAAAGATGGCACAGATAAAAAAGAAATGAATATACTACAGGCTGATACTTAAATCCTAATGCAAAGACGTGTGTTTAGCCAACAGGTTTATAAAATTTTAAAAATTTAAATTTATTAGGATTTATTAGTAACACAATTACACAGAATAAAGTTTAGGAATTCATCAATTATGATCACCATTATGTGCTTCTTTGTGGCTTTTTAAACTGTATTCCTCATGATTCAAATTTATTCAATATAGTTGAATTTCATACATAGCTTCACAATATGGATATTACAGTTCTTCTGTTGGTAAAATTAATGAAAACATATCTTTCATGAAAGGCACAAAAGAATCTAAACTAACACACGTAAGAAATTTTGATAATTTTGAATTTCTTTACATTACAAAGAAGAGAAACAAATCTCCAAGATGAAACATACAAATGTAGTTTGTGGTTACCCACCCACCCACACGTACACATATTTCAACAAACATACTTCAAAATTCAACGAAATGACAGCACATAACTAAACTTAGAAACTACTTATCCACGGAGCTTACTCAAAAACCAGTGAAAAAAGGCAAGTAGGGTGGGGAATGATGTTCATTTTGAGAAACGGGGTCACAAGACATCATGAATAATTAACAGAAAAATGACTATTGAAGTTCAACAACTAGCTGATAAGTAACACTTATTTGAGCATACATACAATCACTGACTTTAATAATACTATTACTCATTTTCTAAGTGTAATTGCCTGTTTCATTCTCAGAAATATTAGCACAGTTTAAAAAGAAATAATATAAACCCAAGCAAGGATGAAATTTGAATAATCTAAGGGAAAAAAGTAATTTTAATATAGTGTGATGACTAAATTTGAAACTACATATATGAATTAAAAGCTTGCATTATATCAGCAGCAGAATATTTAAAGATCTTTCTTGTTATCTTCCAAACAAAGAGCTATCATATATGCTAGGTACAAGGGACTTCCCAAAGGAAATACACAAATGAATGTCTCAAAATTCATTATGCTAACATATTTTTTACCCCCAAATGCTCTCATCATCCACCCAAACTTAGTTATAAATAAAAAGGTAATTATTTAAAGTGTATAAAAATTAATCTGGCACTACCTTTAAGGCAATGCCTGAATACCATCCAAATATTAAAGTTCAAAGTGAAAACAAACCAACTGAATAAAAATTAAGTATTTATAAGTCTAAGATAGTATATCTTCAAAATATAAAATTTTAGTTTTTCAAACCAAATCTAATGTAGAATCAGATTAGCATGCAATCTTAAAAGAAAAAATAAAATGCATACAATGTTTAAATAATCCAAAGGCAGATATATTCATCCTCTTTAAGAACATTTCAATAAAGCATTAAATTTAAAGAACAAATCATGTTATTAAAATAGTCTGTGCAATGTTTGTACAAATAACATTTTTATGATTACAAGATTATCAGGATAAGGTCTTCAGTGTTCCCTAATATTAATTACTGTACTTAAAAACTTACAGGGCATGAACATAAAGCTGTTTAAAACTGGAAAACATGGTAAAATCTGTCCTTGAGTACAAAGTACTCAATATTTCTGTTATTTCCAAAGCAATCACACTAGAATTGTAAGTTGCTGCTCTTAAAACCTAAAAAAAAGCAATGTGGAAACCCATAATGGAAAACCAAAGTTATAAATACGTGTATACATACATTTGCATATTTACACTTACGCAGAAATCATCAATATACTAGAGCCCAGTTTTAACACTGCCCTTAGTTTCACACTGAAGGACCACCTTTCACATTTAAGGTCTTTTTTTTTTTTTTTTTTCCCTTTCAGTTAAAAAAAAAAAAAAAAAAAAACAGAATAAAATAACTTTGGTCAGGTCCAGGTGTGTTTTTTGTATATTAACTACATTCTGTGTTGCTGCAAGACTCTAGTCTAGAGAGATCCACATGTAAGTACTCATTTGGTTTGAAAATGCATTTAACCATTGACTGCAAAACTTAGAAGAGACCACAATCTTTTAGATTATTTTTTATGATGACATCTGTTACGGCATCAAAAACAAACTGCACATTCTTAGTATCTGTGGCACATGTGAAGTGGGTGTATATTTCCTTTGTGTCCTTTCTTTTATTGAGGTCTTCAAACTGACATTGAATATACGCAGCTGCTTCTTCGTATGTGTTTGAGCCTAATATGGGAAAAGGAAAAAAAAAAAAAAAACAAGTTAAAATGGGTATACAGCTAAGAAAAATGGACCTTAAATATTGAAATCAATTTCATACTTTTAAAATATTTGGATTCCATAATTGTATTTTTCCTTATGGAATATGAGAAGCTACCTCTAAATAAAAAATACCCAATGTGAACTACATTTTACTTACTACGTGTTACCCTTAAAAAAACCCCTAAATCTTTGTTCATGTTTCAATCTCCAAATGCCAGATCCCTGCCCCCTTTTCTTATTCCTTGTACTCTATACCCCAGCCACTCAGTTCCCTGGTGGTGGCATGCTATTTCAGGTATAGCCTAGTGGCTGGCTGATCAAAAAGTGCTGGCTGAATGCTCATCAGTACTTCTATTCCCTTTTCTATATACACATTAATGAGCAATTTTCACTCATTTTTATTAAAAAATTGTACAGAGGTCTACAATGTAGTTTATGGCTATGAGTTTACAAAAAAGTGAATGGTATGTTCTCGCTTTCAGGTAATTGACTGATGACTTCTGAGTACAAACACTGCAGAAATTCTTTGGCAGTACCTAAAGGTAATCACACGCATACTCTGTGACCCAACAATTCAGTTTCCAGATGTGCCCTTGACATAAAACATATGAAGACTTCTAATAGCAGAACTTCTAGTTTAGGAAACAACCTAGCTAATAAATACCAGTATATTTATAAAATGAGCTGCCATACAGTAATGAGAAATAAGAATGAAACTACTAATACTACACACAGTAACATGGATGAGTTTCATTAACATACTGTTAATGAAGTAACACCAGGTACAAAAACACTATACACTGTATGATTCAACTGATGTTTAGAAAACAGTCGAAAAAGTTTGATAACCATCAAAATTAACCAATGAGGACGAGTCATAATAATGGTTATTCTTTGTGTGTGTGGTGCGAAGGGCATGATGGGGCTTCTGGGAACCTCAAAATGTTCCACCTCTTGACCTGAGTGGCGAATATATCAGTATTTTCACTTTTAAAAGTTCAATGAGCTTCACATTAGTGTTGAGTGTTTGTGTATCTGTTTTTATATGTACATATATATTACTTCAATTGAAACAAAATTATGAAATGTTTCTTTTACAGTAGTAACACAACATCATTGGCCTGGCTTTCAAGCTCCTCTTATACCCAGCCTACTCAGAGGATCTTCACTCTGAGATCCTCTCTTCCTCATCTGAGGCTCACCTCATGCCATGAGTGCCCAATATTTAAATTGCCATCTCTGTTACTGCAGCCCTTTTCCTCCAATTAGTTCACAATTTTTTCCATGTCTTAGCTACAGTAAACATGCTATGATAAATACGGGCATGCAGGTAACTTTTTGAGTTGGTGTTCTGTTTTCTTCAGAAGAATACTCAAAAGGTGTACTTGGTGAATTATGTGGTACTTAATGTTTTTAATTTTTCATGAACATCTGTAATTTTTTCTATAGTGGAGGCACTAATTTACATTTCCACCAAAGTAACAGTGCACAAGGATTCCCTTTCCTTCATATCCTTGCCAACCCTTGTCATTTCTTCTCTTTTTGGTAAGTGGCATTCCAACAGGTATGAAGTGATAGCTCACTGCAGTTTTGATTTGCATTTCCCTGATGACTGATGATGTTGAGTACCTTTTCATGGACCTGTTGGTCTTCTTTGGAAAATATCTATTCAGGTTCTCTGCCCCTTTGTTTAAATTGCTTTTGATTTTATTTACTTATTTGTGCTATTTAGTTGTATGAGTTCTTTATATATTTTGGATATTAACCCAAAGCAGCTATATGTTTTGCAAATATTTTCTCATTTCATAATTTGCTTTTTCATTTTGGTGATAGTTCCCTTTGCTGTTTGAAAACTTTTCAGTTTGACATAGTACTATTTTTTGTTTTTAGTGTCATTCCAAAAAAATCATTACCAAGACTGATATCAAGATGCTTACTACCTATGTTTTCTTCTAGGAGTTTTATAATTTCAGGTTTTATGTTCAAGTCTTTTATCCACTTTGAGTTAATTTTTGTGTATAGTATAAGATAATGTTCCAGTTTTCTTTTTCATATGGCTGGCCAGTTTTTCCAACACCATTTATTGAAGAAACGGTCTTCTCCCCCATTGTCTTGGCTCCTTTGTCACCAGATATAGTTGGTTTGTTTCTGGGCTCAATATTCTGCTCCATTAATCTATATGTCTGTTTTTATGCCAACACCATACTGCTTTGACTACTACAGCTCTGTAATATGGTCTGATATCAGAGAGCATTATGGTTCCAGCTATATTCTTTTTCAAGACTGCTTTAGCTATTCAAAGACTCTTGCAGTTCCATACCAGTTTTAGGATATTTCATTCTCTGTGAAAAATTCCACTGGAATTTTGATAGTTGCATTGAATCTGTAGATTGCTTTGGGTAGGATGAACATTTTTTAACAGTATTCTCTCAACCCATGAGCATGAAATATCTTTCCATTTATCTGTCTTCAATTTCTTTCATCATCATCTTACAGTTTTCAGTGTTTAGCTCTTTGAGCAACTTCATTATATTCCTATTTTGTTCTGTTTGATGCAATTGTAAATGGGGTTGTTGATTTCTCTGATAGTTCATTACTAGTATAGAAATGCAACAGATTTTCATATATTAATTTGGTATCCTGAAACTTTACTCAATTGTTTATTAGTTCTAGTAGCTTTGTAGTGGAGTCTTTAGGGGTTTTCTGAATATAATATCATGTCATCTGCAAATGGTAACATTTCTTCTTCCTTTCCAATTTGGATGCCTATTACTTCTTTTTCTTACCTAATTCCTCTTCCTATGTCTTCCAATACAATACTGAATAAAAGTACTAAGAACTGAATTCCTTATCATGTTCCTGATCTTAGAGGAAGGAAAAGCTTGTAGCTCTTCAGCACTGAATATAGTGTTAGTTGTGGGCCTGTAACATATGGCCTATATTATATTGAAGTACATTCCCCCTATACACACTTTGTTGAAAATTTTTATTATAAATTGACAAATTTCATCGTGTTTTTCTGCATCTAATTTTTATACTTCTTTTTGTTAAGGTGATATATCACATTGATTGATTTGAAGATGCTGAACCTTCTTTGCATCCCATCCCTGCAATAAATCCTATTTGATCAAGGTCTAAGATCATTTTAATGTACTGTTGAATTTGATTTGCTAATATTTTGTTAAGAATTTCTGCATTTATATTCATCAGGGATAATGACCTGTAATTTTTTGTTTCTTGTGTTATCCTAGTCTGATTTTGGTGTCAGGGCAATGCTGGTCTTACAAAATGAGTTTGGAAATGCCCTGTCCTCTTCTACTTTGGAAAAGTTTGAGAAGAGCGAGTATCAATTCTTCTTTAAATATTTGGTAGAATTCACCACTGAAAGCCATTTGGTCAAGGACTTTTGTTTGTTGGAAGGTTTTTGATTACTGATTCAATCTTCTCACTGGTAATACGGCTGTCTAGGTTTTCTATTTCTTCATGATTCAGACCTGGGAGGCTATACATTTTTAGGAATTTACCCTTTTTTTCCTAGATTGTCAAAATACATTTTAACTCTTAAATTGCCAGCAGATGACCATATATTTTTACAAATAAAATTCTAGTTAACTTTATTAAATCATAATAAGGTTGGTATTCTGAAATTCTAAAGCACGAGTATCTTGTTCAAACAGAAGGGAATGCAACCACCATATCAAAAATACAGGGATGGGCAAAAGTAGGTTATAGTTGTTTGTATGGAACATAATATAATTAAATAATAATACAAGAATAAACTCTATGTTCTGTGTAATCACAATTGTAAACCTACTCTTGCCACACCCTGTATGTTTTTGGAAAGCAGCTTTCACTCAGTGCCTAGCTCAATTTCATGTATACATGCGAGGTCTGTCCAGAAAGTATCCAACCATGCACTATGCGAGAGACATTGAAGGAGATACAAGATACAAGAAAAACTGTACATAGGAAAATGACACCTCAGTCCCCTTCAAAGGAGACACCATAGGACCTCAGTTCTTCCCCTGTCTCTTCCATTGTTCAAAACACTGCAAAATCCTTGTTGGAATCACCATCAGCTGCTCCATCGTATTTTCCATCAAATCTCATCAGCAGTCTGAAATCTCTTCCCTTCCAAAGGTTGAGTTTAGTTTTGGGAAAAGCAAGAAGTCGCAGGGCGCCTAATCTGGGTGGCAAGGGGGCTTAGTCAGCTGGGTGAATTGACTTTTTTGCCAAAAAACTCTGCACCAGATGTGATGCATGAGTGGACACGCTGTCAGGATGAAGCTATCAACCACCAGCTGCCCACAGCTCATTTTTGTCATATTGCTTCTCTGTGGCCTGGTGGGGTGTACTCATGAGAAATAACACCTTCCCAATCAAAAAACACAGTTAACATGGTCTTGATCTTGCTGTGGCTCTGTCATGTCTTTTTCAGTTGTCAAGAAACAGGAGACTTCCATTTGGACAACGTGGCCTTCGTTTCCAGATCATAGCTATAGACCACAATTTACCTCTAGTTATAGCCTTCTTGAGGAAACCTGGTTCATTGGTAGCGGTTTGAATCAAATCATTAGCAACTGCAGCACAATGTTCCTTCTGCTCTGGTAGCAGAAGCCGTGGAATGAATTTTGCCACAACGTGTATCATGCCAAGATCCTGCGTCAAAATTTTGGACAGAGTAGTTTTTGGAATCCCCAGATCAGCTTCTGGTTCTCACACTGTCAGTCACTGACCTTTGTTGATTGCGGCTCGTACCCATTCAACATTCTCAGATGTTCTGCTTGTTGCAGGTCTTCCAGAATGTGGATCACTTTTAACAGATTCTCAACCATTCTGAAGCATTTTTGCCCCATTTTTATTTGTGCTGCACTCACTGCATAGTCCCTGAAAGCCTTCTGAATCATTCAAATAGTTTCCATGGATAAATGTCCAGCTTCATGGAAAATAGGATGCTGATTTATTGCTCTACTGTCATTCTGAATGTGATGGCCAGAGTACAGTTGCTCCCTCAAGAGCATCTGCTGCTCCACTGACTAGTACAGTGAAGTCATCATTGTTCATGCATGCGCATTCCAGTCCACTCTCCCTGGCTGCCAGGTAACATCAATGTCGCGCAAACCATTCTCCTTATATTAATAATGACTGGACTTTTTCCAGACAGACCTCCGGATTTGGTTGTATTACCTAATCCTAAGAGCAACAAGATATATGAATGAACTAATGAGAACATTAATCTGATTTTAAGTCTTAAGAATGGTAAGGATGAGGGTTGGGGGAAATATGTGATAGATATTTTCTAACATGTGATAGAACTGTCCTAAAGAAAGCTAAGTACAGATGATAACATGGTTCAAGAATGGAGAATGGAAAGTTGATGATGTAATTCAAAGGGACATAGAGAATTAAGAAAAACAAAATACACTGAGTTTAGTTTGAGTTTCAGGTGCTAAAAAAACAAGTACATGCTCAAGAAGTAGTTGGAAATGCAAGCCTGATGCTCTAAAGAAAAACTGGAGTTGATGACAGAATTCAACATGTTGAGAATAAACATGACCATGAAAGAATAGAGTGCTAAAAGATTACAGATCTGTGGCTGGAAAGTGGTGAACTGCTAACATAGAGATAAAGAGAAGAGAGAAGCAGATAGGAAATAAACTGAGTAGTTGGAGGATACGTTGGGTTCTTCCATAAACAGCAATAGTCATAGGAATTAAGAGTTGAGGCTGAAACAAGAGGCAACTGAGTCAATAATTAGGGCATACAGTGAAGGTTAAATTATTATACTGACACTAGGAATGTGAGGGAATTAAGTGGTATTTATCTTTTTGTTCAAAAATTCTGAGATTAGTGATTCCTATTAAACAACACAAGGAAAATTCTCATGTATATCTAGTAAAGAGCTAACAAGTTTATTCCTTGTTGCTCTGAAATCCCTGTAGGTATGTGATATTTATGGATTCATTTGGGTACTGTGGTAATATTAGCACAAAATGGCTACTTCGTAATAGAAAATGACAAAAATAAACTGAAAGACAGATGAAAGTAAGGGCAAAAACTAAGCCACCTTGAGTCTGGATAACTTTAATCTTGGAGTTAATACTATAAATAATTTTATTCCTAATAAGCACTAAAAATGTTTCTGAACAAGGTGACATAGAATATTGACTTTCAAAAATAAAACAAAAGTTTTAAAATAAGAAACTGTGAAAGTATTTGAAGTATACCTTTGCAATATACAAAAAAGGGCTGTAATAATTAGTGTGCTTATATTTATTGAAGAACTGCTCCTTACCCCCCAGTTCCAAGGAGAATTTAATTAGTCTGGGGGTTAATGATGAGACAGACTTAGGTCTTGGTTTGGACTCTGTTACTTCATTAAGTTCTGGTGTTCTCACCTGTATAAATGGAAAATAAGACTGCTGATATCACAGGGTAGTTTTAATGTCACCTGTGAAAAGGCAGTAAATACTTAACATACAATTCACTCAATCAAGGATAAATTTTTGTTTATAATCAAATTCTTGAGACTTATTTTAAAACAGGATGAAAGGCGTGAGAGTAACTTGTATCAATTAGCTAAATTAGCCAAACTCTTCAAAAATTTAGATTTAGAGATACTATAAACCAGAAGTGTTCAAACTATTTCTTAAGGCAGAGATCTCTTCATTAAAATCAAATCTTACTCAGATGAAAGCTACGTGACTATGTTTTAATGAGAGAGAAGTTGTGTGAGTGCGTGTGGGGGGCAGGTATGTATCGCCATCCCTTGCTCCCACTTTCAACAGCAGCAGTCTAGGAAACGTCCCAAAACTACACCGGACCGTAATAATATTCTAGTTCTCCTCTGATGTTAAAGATGGGGTGGTGAGACCCAGGTAAATTAACTGCCTTGTTCAAGATCAAAGAGCTAATTATGGAAAAGCCAGGACTGTATGTCAGGTCTCTTTTTTCACTGCACACCATTTTCCATAGTGGTATAATTGAAGTACCATTAATTAATAAAGTACCATTGATTTCCTATGAAATGTCCCCTGACTCCTGAGTTGTTAGCTAATTCTCAATTCCCTTTCCATTTTCCCCTTTATGGTTACTGGTCATGTTACTTTGTAGTAACACGCTATACTGCTATTGTTTCTTTGTTTATGAGTATATCTGTCTTTAAGATTAGACAGGGAGCAAGACACGTTTTATTTGTTGGGCATTACACAATATTTGACATGAGATCTGTTAACTAGATGAAGGAATCAATATTGTAAATTTATGAAGACATAAAACCATCACAGAAAATTACTTAACAGCTTTTCCATAAAATGAATGTTATTTTCAATAATCTAATCAACATCTCAAGTAACTACGTGTGCTTAAATGTAGTTTGATAAGTAGTTTCTCTTAAAGGTAAGAATTATTAAGCCAGGGGATTTAAATCAACAACTGAAGTCTTGCCGTAGGGGAACTTTCACTTGGCAATTATTGACTTATTTACAGAAAGTAAAATACCTGCATATTCTGGATAGCATATAGTGAGAGGGCTCTTTTTGATTTTTTCTTCGAAGAGATCCTTCTTGTTTAGAAAAAGTATAATAGATGTTTCTGTAAACCACTTGTTGTTACATATGCTGTCGAACAACTTCATGCTTTCATGCATTCGATTCTATAGTAGAAAAGATACAATCAGCTTGTCATAATGACAAGAATTTTGAGAAATGTTATTTTTAAAAAATAACAAATGTTGTAACAAAACAGAGCTTAACTGAAAAATAGATCACATACTGGAAAAATACATTTCTGGCATTAAAGAAGCAGCCCACTTTGATTTTAGGTGAGATGAGCATCTACATCATTCATTACTTTTGGCATCCAACCAGTATTTGCCAGGTACCCACTGCTACGTGTTGCTGTGCCTGGGAACGTCCGGCTGCAGGACTTTGCTATCTAGACGTGCCAAGTGTAAATATTTGAAAACATCTCACCATTACAGAGTTTATCCAAGTTTCTATTAATTGATAAGTAGAGTTTTTTAAAGGTTAATAAATTAAACTGAATAAGCTGAACACAATTAGCTCAATACCCTAAATGTAAAGGTATGCTAGGGAAGGAAACCTCCATTTCTGTTTCTTCCTCCTTGTATCTGTGGTTTCAAAAAGGGCACTGACCGACATATTTCACAGCATCAAAATGAGAGCAGTGGATGGATGATGATGCACTGCACCTACCACACTGTCACTGAATAGAAATGATTTTAAAAAATAGAAAACTGACATTTTAATCTTTTTTTCTCAGATTGAACTAAATTTAAAATAACAGAGTTTTAAATTTCTAGCTAAAAATATGCCCCCCCAGATTAATGATATACTTAAATACATCTGAAAATTACATGGTAGTACAAAGACTAACATGGATCAAAGATTACTAAGCTGGAGATGGCAGAAGTAGTAAGTTAAGGAAAAAAACTTTATTTTCATTCAGTACGTAGATAATACCAGATATAGAAAAGGCACAGTTAAGCACACAGGGTTTAGATGTGATTAACTCTTTTTCTTTTTCTCAGGATCCACTTGTGACTCTTTAGTATAATTCCCACTTAGTATGGAAACAGAAAAGTTAAGAGAAAAAAGCCCGAACTTTCAAATAATTCAGATATTTAGCAAGAATTTCTCAATAATTTTTTTCTTAGAAAAACTCCTGGCAACATCTTCAGCTTTTCATATTTCATGCTCAATCTTTAAAAGTGGTTGTACTTGCCATTTCTTCATCTTCAGCTAGAACCAGGTCATAGTCACTCAGTGCCACACAGAAAATGATGGCAGTCACTCCTTCAAAGCAATGAATCCATTTCTTCCGCTCAGATCTCTGTCCTCCCACATCAAACATTCTATAAGAGGAAGGACATCTATATGAGTTGGACATCACATTACATGTCCAAGAGCTCTAACTTCTACAATTTCAACAAAAATTGAAGAGAGAATGTGGGATGGGAGGAAAGGACAAAAGGACTTTATGGGAGGAAAACAATTTCAGAAATTGGCTTTCACAAATAGAAAGTCCACTGATTTTTTAAAATTTGGTATCAAAGAGAGGGTACCTAAAAAACAAAACCAAAATAACCTAAAATACCTTAAAAACAACATATTACCATATAAGAATACTTCAAACAGGACATTAAAACAAATACATATGAATGGACTGCACTATGTGTAAACACTAAGAATGCACACAAAGCAGCTAGAAAATGCAGAGAGAGTAATCGATTTGCCAATGTCACAAAACAATACAGGCAAAAGACATGGTCCCCTCTTTCCACTACAAAATGATCCTGTCTCCCTGAGACATAAACAGGACTTTGATGTGAAGGAGAAACCATTCCAGGTAAGAAAAAGCTAAACAAGCAAGTCATATTTAGAGGCGGGGCAAGAGGTTGCCTCAGTTAAAAAGTAAAACCAGGGTATAAAAGAAAATGAGAAGAAATATGACACAAATGGACAGTCCTAATGAATAGTCTTAAAATTTAGAGGGAAAAAAGTCAATTTTTATATAATATACAATAGCACACCATTGCTGGTTAGTGTACAGGGTAGCAACATAATTAAACAGTATAAAGACAATGACTGCTTCCTCTTTTTCTTATAAGAGTTTATTAAGTTAAGCAAAAGTTGAAATGCGCATAGGGTATGTTATGCAACCTAGCAATAACCACTTATATAATGGAGACACTATGCACACTGGTATATTTTTAAAGGATCCATTTATCTAGATGGTGCACTAATTAAAATAGTCCCTATTTAAATCTCAGGCAGCAAAAAGAATTTTCTCTGCAGAGCAGTATTGGCCTATAAACTAGTATTGTTAATTTTATCATCATTTAAGTGGCCTTCATTGTATTGGCTTAGCTACTGAATCATTCATTAGGTTTAAGAGTGCTATATAAAAAAATGATTCTACCACACGATAAATAAAATGGGTAAGATACAAAAAGGACAGCTGGTAATAAAGATCATACAAGAACAAAAAACTAATTAAAATGATTACGCATTTGTTAAATTGCCAAAGAACACAATCTGAAAGAATTTTTACTGAAAACATAATATATTTTAGATAACTGATTGAATGTCACATATTTCCTGACCACTCAATATAAAATAACAACCAAACCCATGCAATCCCAGTTTTCTTCTGTGATGGTTAGTTTTATGTGTGAATTTGGCTAGGCTATCATACTAGGTGCTGCTGCGAAGGTATTTTATAATTGTGGTTAGTAACATCTATGATCAGTTGAGTAAAGGAGACTATTCTTGATAATGTTGGCAGACCTCTTCCAATCCGTTGAAAGGCCTTAAGAGCAACAACCAAGGTTTCCCAGAAGGAAAAGAAATTCTGCCTCAAGACTACACCATCGGTTGCTGCCAGAGCCTGCTGTTTTAGCCTACAAATTTTGGACTTGTCAGCCCCCATAGTCATGTGAGCCACTATTAGTTCTGATTCTCTGAAGAATCCTGACTGATACAATTTTAGTACCCAGAGTGGGGTGTTGCTAGACAAGGTCTGTCCAGAAGAAGTCCAGCCATTCTTAAATATAATGAGAACAGTTTGCATGACATCGATGTAACCTGACAGCCAAGGAGAGTGGACAGGAATGCATATGTGTGAACAATGGCTTCACTGTACTAGTCAGTGGGGGCAGTAGACACCAGTGAGTGAACATGTGTACTGTGTGACTGCCGCATTCAAAATGACTGAGTGATTGGAGCAACGAATCTGCATCAAATGTTGCATTAAGCTTGAACATTCCCCTGTGGAAACTATTCAGATTATTCAGAAGGCCACAGCATGGGCAACTGGTGACTGGCAGCTTCATCACGACAACATACTTGCTCATGCACCACGTCTTGTGCAGAGTTTTTTGATGAAACATCAAATCACCAGGTGACTCAGCTCCCCTATAGCCCAGGTTTGGCACCCTGTGACCTCTGGCTTTTCCCAAAACTAAAATCACCTTTGAAAGGGAAGAAACTTCAGATCATTGATGAGATGCAGGAAAATATGATGGGGCAGCTGATGGTGACCAGGAGGACTGTGTGAGATCTAAAGGTGCCTACTTTGGAGAGGACTGAGGCAACAATGTTTCTTGTATCTTCTTCAAAATAAATGTCTATTTTTCATATTACATGGCTGGATACCTTCTGGGTAGACTCTAAACCACATAAAAATGTGGAAGTGACTTTTGAATTTAGTAACAGTTAGAGGTTGGAAGAATTTGAGTTACTTGACAGAAAAAGCCTGGACTGCCTTCAAAAGATGATGGTTGGAAACATGGACATTAAAGGTTTGATGAGACTTTTGATGAAAGTGAAGAGGATGGTAGAAAAACTTCTATCCTGGAAAATTTATATATCATCATGGACACAATGTTGGGAGAGATATGAATACTGGAGATACTTTTAAGGATTATCCGGAGGAAATAAGAACCGTGATTAGACACTGGAGAGAAGATAATTCTTTTCTTTTATTTAATGTGGTAAAAACCTTGCTTAACTGTTTTCTAGTTCTGGGTGTAAGGTAGAATTTGTAAGAGATGAACCTGGATATTTAACTAAGGAAATTTCCAAGGAAAGCGTTCAAGGTACAGCCTTGTTTCTTTGCTGCTACAATAAAATACAAAAGGAAAGACATAAACTGAAGAATGAACTATTAAGTAAAGAGGAACCAGACACACCTGGAAGAGAAGGCCACGTGACAAAGGGCAAAAATTGAAGTAATGTGGCTACAAGCTGAGGAATACCAAGGATTACCAACCACCAGCAAAGCGAGGAAGAGGCAAGGGCGGTTTCTTTCCTAGAGCCTCCGGAAGGAGCACAGCCCTGCTGACACTGCCTAGCCCTCCCGAACAATGAAGGAACGCACTTCTGTTGTTTTATGCCACCTCCTTTGTGGTAATTTGTTACAGAAGCCCCAGGAAACTAATGCATCCCCCCCCACCTTGCTTTATTTTTCACTAGAGCAATTATCATCTCCTGAATATTAAATATTTATTTATCTCACCTCCTTTTGACAATGTAAAGACAAAAAAGTTTATTTATTTTGGTCATTTTATATCACCTATGGACACACACAAGTACTTCATAAATATCTGGTGAGTAAGTAAATGAACTATGTCCACAGAATATCTTAAAACTTTCAAATAATAATAGACTGGCTTTACAATCTTAAAGATCCAGGTCTTCCAGTTATGCTATGGGAATATTAAATATAACTTGAAAATTAGGTCATCTAACAGAAGAAATCTCTTCAATTTATTTAAATTAGAAATAAATGAGGGTTAGTCATATACTGGTCATAAAGAAAGAACCTGTAATCTACGCCGGTGGTTGTCAAACTTCAGGGCACAGCAGAATCACCGCTGGATGATGTCAATGCTGCGGATCTGAGGACCGTACTTTGAAATCACTGGTCTAATTCTTAAGTAAGGAGCAAAAATGACTAAGAACTGATACTACAAATGATAGGATTGTGCATAGAGCATTATTCATTGTTTCACACATACATTAAAATTACCTTCAAATTCCAAACTTCTATTTTTTAAAAAAGTTAATCAAAACCAGAACAAAATTATAATATGTTCTTCATATGAAAATGAGACTTTTGACTAGCATCAACAGGGGACTGAATTTGAGTTTTCTTAGATGTCCCTTTTTGGAGGAGTGGTGGCAGGCGGAAGGAAATAATGGAGATCCTGAGATGTGCTTGTTGACTTCTCCTCAGACTGTCATCTGATACCATTATGACCGAGACTGACTGGTACAGAGCTGGCTGACCATATATGGATATCAACCCTAAGGGATGCTTTAATTCTTTATTTGGCAAAAATATAGTAAAATGAACCTGTTGATTCTTTAAAGCAAAATACTCCATGTATGCCTAGTCACAGAAGTGATACAATAAATGCTTAAAGAATAATGTCTTCTTACTTCATTTTGAATTTAATTCCAATCATGCCCCAAAGTGGAATTTAAATTTTACATGAGCAGTTAAAAATCAGACAATGAATTACAACACAAAACACACAAAATGATAACCACATTCAAGAGTTCCCAGTAGAGTTAATCCAAGTACTTTTCTGCCCTCATTCTTCTGAGGCTCACTTAACTGTCCCAAAAAGCAAATCTGGAACCATATGTGAGCAATGATAGTAATTTAAAAGAATTTTCAAATCCAAAATAAGGCCACCTTTTTCTGAAGTTCTTGACAAACCTATGTTTAAGTCAGCAAGTGAAAACAACCACAAAGTACACCCTGTGAAATTCTACCTCACCTGAAGAGATAAACAGAGGGAGACAAATGGACTTCTGGAGGGACCATGGTAAGAGACACTGAATCCCAGTACCTGCCTGACACTAAAATGACAACTGAGAAACTCAGGCTAACAGGGAAAGTATGGTCTGAAGTGAATGTTTAAAGCGAATCTAACCAGACTGAAAGTGAATTCAGTTAAGAGTTCCTCAGATACCAAATGACTGACTTAGCATGTGCCATTGCCATTTCTCACCACTGAGAATGTTTCCTTCATAGGAAACAACCTGTTTTATGTTTAAACCTCTCTGTAAAGAATCTTAACCAAGTTTTCCCACTTACCTAATGGGAGCCTAGGTCTAGAATTCTTACTTGATAACTCAAAGCCCATGCATTTTTCCTTGAGCTACATGATTAGATTAAAACCATTATCTGAATATAATTTAAGTTTGCTACAGAGTATGGTCTTTACATTGAGATAAATAAATAAAAAGCAAAAAATCAAAATCTAAAGTGCACTAGGTTTTAAAAAAACAAATCTTAAATCCTCATTCTAACAGTGAACTTCCTTATAATTAAAATCACTTCATAATTTTAAGATAAATATGGCTGTAGTTCTCAGATAAGACATTTCAAATTATTTAAAATAGTATTTTAATATTCCTGAGTTTGGCCATTTAAAGTAGTAAGCAAACCAAAAGAAGGTAAATGATTTCAATAAAAGATAATGACAGCAACAAAAAATGTCCACTGACAACTTAAAAAATAGGAAAACAGAAAAAAAATAAAAGCATATGCAAAACCATACCACGTATTATAAAGCACAAAGTTTAGAAGGTCAGATAAACAAATTACGATCTGTACCTCTGTTTATGAAGCAGGGCAATATGTGTTTTTTGAAGGGAAGCTGCTATGGAAAGTTGACATTAGATCTTAGTTTTCTGGAAAACGCAATTATATGAACCATTACATGTGGTATAAATTCATGGCAATGTATTTAAATGTATTGAAAATATATTTAAAATACTGGAGGGAATTCAAAGGAATAGTTGCATATATTTAACTATGCTTCCCATAACTTGTAATTGTCAGCTCCTTGAAGCAGTGAGCTGATAATTATTTTTTTTTTATCTTTGATTTGGAACCTTTTTATAAGATGCTTTCAGAAAATCTGCTTAATTATCATTACTGTTTTAGAGTTAAATGAAGCAAAGTCCAGCAGTTTTGGACATACTTTGAAAATTGTTATTGGAAAAAGAAAAACATAGCTCTGCAAATCTGAATATGTAATGTTTACCTAAACTTCCCTGAGCCTGGTTCATTATAAAATGAGCAAACTAAATAAAATGAACTCCAACATCCCTCCATTTCTGAAGCCCAATACAACTCAGTGCCTCCCTGCTTAGACCTCAGTAAGTTGATAATCAGTACATTCTAAGTAAATAAACATTTTTCATCACATCAGTGTGCATGAATAAAAATGTTTAAGAAAAATCTTTAAAAGGTGCTCTTGAGTTTTAGTATTTCCGTAAACAAAGATATATCCGATCAGTAAAACCCCATCTCTTTCTACCTAAAAATAGATGGTAGAGATTTCCCAAAATATACAGTATTGCAGCAGTCTTTGCTATTTAGAAATAGAAGCCAAAAAGTATTTATTTAAATCACTGTGAAAAATATAGGCAAAAGGAATCGACAAGGCTATTTGTTCTCAAATAAACATACATATTCCCAAGAATGTTTCTTGCACTCTTTCATCTCAAAATTCTTTTGTGCAATCATCTGAGAAAATATTTCTTATAATTTCCAAATCTAAATTTTTTAAACTTTTACAATTATGCCCTTTTCCTAAACAATGTGTTTTATATCTTAATTATAAATCATATGCTTCGAAGCTACTCACTTAAAGTGAAGATCTTTGAAAGTAAAATGGGTTTCAACAATTCCTGTAGTTTTCACTCGAGTTCTGAGAACATCTTGTTGAGTTGGGATGTAATTTGGCTGAGCTATTCTGTCCAAGTCGTTCAAATAGCTAAAAACACAAACAATAAAACAATATGCTAATAGTTAATATAGTCAATAAAGATCATCTAACTCAGAGTAAGGTATTTTGATGCATGCAATATTCCAAGTTACTGGAAGTTTTTATATTTCTATGTAACAATTTAGTACAACCAATTCAAGTTTGTATCTTACACAACTCCCACTGAAATGAACGTGCTTATACTTTTCTGGCCACAAAACTCTTGGAACATTTTTTTAATGTTATGTACTTTGTTCCTGGAGGACAATAATTAGTAATTTCCCCATTGGGAAAGAAAACAGACTAATAATAACTTCTTTAAAACACCTAAATTAACTGCATACCATTTATAAAAATTCTTTATTTTAATTTTTTTTTTGATGCAGTGCTATGTTTATGTTCCAGACATTCTTCTTTTGTTGAGGATTTAAAAAGTTGGTTTTTGAAAAGAGAGTGAGGAAACCTCTGGCCAAAAGGTTAAATTCGATGTTGTTCCTTTTCAACTAGCCTTCAGTTACATATAGAAAAACACTTCATGTAACCCTTTACTCGGAATTTTACTTGCTTTCTAAATAAATATTCAAATTTTCATTCTTACTGATTTTAATCACTTATTCACTATTTTCTGCCAATAATGCCAAATATGTTGATATAAAAATATGGTGGTGACATACCATGCAACTATTTTGTATAATTTGCGTCAAATTATGTAGTACAGTCTATGTTATAGGAAGTCCACATATGCAGAGATTAATGTGAACTTGAGTCGTTAAAGGAGAATTCATGGATATTAAGGGGTATAAATATAAATCTGAATGATGGGACAGAAAAAAAGGAATGTTATTCACATCTGGCCAAGCAGTAAAACAGTATGGGGGCAGGAACAGTCACATCTTCTTTCTCAGAAAATAAGGCCACTAATCGGCTATGGTACAACCTAAAATGAGAAGCCTGGAATTAATTCTAAGGTCAGCTGAATGCAGAGAATATCCCTGCAGTGCTTTGCAATGACTAGGGCAGAATGTGAAAGACAATTTAGAAAATAAGTTTAGGGGCAGAGAAGCACCAACTATTGTAACTTTAACTGATGTTACCCTCTGAAACTGTTCCTCAGCCATTTAGAATAGGGACGTTGAAGCAAAAAGAGCTCAGTAAATACTTGATTCATTGGGGATGGATTTGAAAACTATCCACACACTGAATTAGTAACCAAAAATGTTTTAGACAGTTAAGTACATGTATCTGGTGTTGACAAACAAGAATACACACAGAGATAATAACTTGAATTATCTGTATTGTACTTACTTAAAAGAATCTTATTATCTTTTATTGCATTGGTGTGAATCCCCCAGTATTTTATCTGTGTTTTCAATTCCACATATGTAATGTTATACCTTATTGTAGAAAAACCTGATTTAATACTTAAAAGTCCATCACAAGATTTTATTAACTATCCCTATTAAATACAGAGCTACTCTTATTTAAAATTTTCTGATTGTTCATAAGTACATTTCTTTGCTTAAAACTGCTATAATTGTAACAGTCTCTAAAAATAATGCACACTTGTATTTCAACAAGACAAAAATAGGTACTGTGAAAAATTCCAATTGTTTTAAATGTTCAAAAATTTAAAGTGTAAACTGGTGGTTAGTCTCAATGGGCAACTTTGCAGCACGCCCCCATCTCCAGTCAAGAACTTGGAAATAAAAAATGCCCTGTAATTACAATGAAGAAAAAGATTTCTATGATTTTCTCCTTTCTTGAAAAATGACTCCATTATCTAAGGTCAGAGCTACCAGTAATGAAATACCAGGGAGCCAAAGCAATATACAGGGTCTTTTTTTATCACAAAATCTTTTATTACAAAATCATAAGCATGTAATTTTGTAACATAACAATACCATACTCAAGCACACGTATGATATTTTAGGTGAAATGTTCAAATTAGAACTATAAATTATCATTCCCATATTATTTCCCTACCAACCACACGCATGCAAGTGTTACTTCTGCCGGGCCCTGTAGTTTTCTCCATGCATGTCTAAGCACTGTACCCACGAGAGAGGGTCTTGGTGAAGAGACTGAGGAGTCCAGGAAGACCACCCCAGATGGGGAAACATATTTCAATCTACTGTTCCCTAAACTACTGAAATAGCTCCTCTTGCTGGGCTCAGCTCAGAGCAGTCTTCTCCTCTTAACATTGATTCTCATTTTATTCTTCTGCAGGTACTCGTGGTGCCAAAGCAATATTATGGTCTAAGAGTTGTGTTCTAGCTCTAAATAATTTTCTTTAAATTTCTAGCCTCTGTAAAGTCTAGTTTATTAATTCATTCATTACTAAACAAGGGCATATCAAGTGATGACTGTGTGTCAGGCAATGGAGATAGAACGCTGTGCATAAAACAGACTTTACTGAATTTACACTTTAGTCGCAGAGACAGAAGATAATCAAATAGTCTTAATATACGTAAAAATTAGATGAATTCAAAATAAATGTAAATCTGTGAGTGCTATGAAAGAAAATATATCATATTATGAGTACATAAAACAAGGAAGCAAGCACCTACTCAGTGAGTCACGTACTATTTCTTAGTAGAAGTGACACCCGTTGGAGAGACAGGCTACCTACTCAGTAAGAAACGTTATCATTCACACTAAATCATTCTTGTAACACACACTAAGTATTCTGATGTGTAATAAATGACATGCTCTATCATTTGCATGTCATATGATCATAAAGCTAGATCATAAAGCACAGTCATGTTTTTCACTGTGGCAAAACATGTATATTTACATAGACCCTTTAATGCCTGTTATTGTCAATCTAATTCTCACTTGTGTCCCTAAGAGCCAATAGCTCTGCCAAGAAAATGGCACAAACTTGGAAAGGAAAGTGAGTGCACAGCATATTTTAAGACCAATTAATGCTACTCATATTACACCTGACATTTTTGAGTATTTGTGCCAATTATGTAAACAAATTATTTTTTTCTTCTATGTAGATCACCAAGCAGGATGCTCCCCAATTAGGTTTCATCACAACTTGTTTTACTAACTTTCTGGGCCACCATCTGGAAAATCAGGGCAGACTTTTCTTTCAAAAAAACACTTAGATATCTGTAAGCAACATCTAATACAAAAGGGCACACGCAATTCACAATTTTCAAGTGTAGAGCTATATTACTCAGTGAGAAAACATCTTGGTATCACCATGTGCCTCTTCAAAAGGGGTGCCTGTTATTCAAGGTGCCTGTCACTGGACAAGTAACTCTTCTTGGCTATCATTTGTATAACAAAAATAACCCAAATCAGTTACCCTCCCCTTTGGCTAGTCCAAGGAAAAGTAGAGATACACCCACATTCAGAATGAACTTCAGGAGGTTCCAATTACTTTCTTGGGAATATACTGGAAACAGTCCCATTTTACATGTTTCAATTAGACTTACATAAAGCATGACTCTCTTGAGACACTTTTGAACACAAAGGAAATAACAACATTGCTATCTACAAATATGCAGGAGAGAGTTTTAAAACGCTGTCATTCTGAATATCCTGAATTGTATAAGAATGTGTCAGCCAATTCCACAATAAAATTGACTTGGAGGTATATTTGACTTGAGAGTAATTATTCATGATAGTTTAGTTCTAAAGTTACAATTACTTACTATGCTGCAGAATCATTAAGCTGGTACTCTCGGGATCTGTTGAAACAGGCTTGTACACCACTATCTTTCCACAATCTCTTTATAACTCCAGCAAGTTCTGCAGTCATAAAACCTTCTTCAGCAGCTCCAGCAAGCACAAAGAGTTGACGGGCATCATCCTGAACATTCAAAGACCATTTTTAAAAAAAGAAGTAAAAAAAGGATATTTTATAGATAAAAAGTACAAAGGTGGTATTATAGATGACAAAAAGTGCAAATAAAGTGAATTTCTTTTTTTAACATTTCTATTTATCAATTTTAGAGAGAGAGAGGGGGGAGAGAGAAACATCAATTTGTTGTCCCACTTATTTATGCATTTATTGGTTGATTCTTGTATGTGCCCTGACTGGGGGTGGAACATGCAGCTTTGGCGTATCGGGATGACGTTTTAACCAACTGAGCTACCTGACCAGGGCAAGAATAACTTTTTTTTCCCTCTGTAAAGGATAATCTTAAATCATAAGAGTACATTTTGTGTTTTTTTGATAGCTATCAAGGCACTAGGGAGCTAGAAGAATGACCACCCTTACAATTATTAACCAGCCATCCACTGACGGTCTGTTGCACAGTGAAGATGATCACTTTTGAGAAAACAGAAGAATGTATGCTTTACCACCCCTCACAAAAATGTGTCTAACAAATATATTCACACTGTTAGAGGTTATTTTAAGATAGAATCTAATTAAATGTTAGCTTTCTGATATTCTTTATAGAAGCAAAAGAAGTTCAGAGAAGGGAGAAATTGGCATGGAATAAGCAAAAATAATTTCACAGAATGATCTGAGATTTTCAGAAGATACTAAAGTATGTAGACAGCAATCTCCCTTATCTGCAGTTTCATTTACCCATGGTCAACTGTGGCTTGAAAATATTAAATTTCCCCATGCACTGACATCATCATGGCTCCATGATCCAGACTCATCTGAAGTTGATGATCCTCCTGATATATCATCAGAGGCCAGTAGTAGCCTAATGTTACATACAATGCCTACATCACTCAGCTCACTTCATCTCATCGCATAGGCATTTAATCACTTCACATCATCACAAGAAGGGTGAGTACAGTACAGTAAGATTTTGAGAGGCAGAGAAAGGCCACATTCACATAACTTTTATTACAGTATATTGTTATAATCATTCTATTTTGTTAGTAATTATTGTTGTCAATCTCTTACTGTGCCTAATTTATGAGTTAAACTTTATTTCAGGTATGTATGCATTGGGAAAACAGTACAAAGTAGGGTTTGGTACTATCCATAATTTCAGGTATCCACTGGGGGTCTTGAAAATATCCCCTGCGAAAAGGGGAGACTATCACACATTAAAATCAGTGGGCCAGGAGGTGGGGGCAGGTGTTTGCTAATGCAGGTACAGGAAATAAGCACAGCTTTGGAATACAAACAATCATGATGCATACAGAAAGAGAATGCAAAATAATTTAAATAAATACTATATAGAGTTAATTAACTGTCCTTAAAATTCGCGATTATAAATATATAGTTATTCTTTATTCACAGGTAATCAACTACACTAGGACAGTGCTGTACAAAAGAAATAAATCATGAGTCTCTGATGAAGTTCTAAGTTTTCTAATAGTCACATTTTAAAATGTGAAAAAAAGTTAAATTAATTTGGTACTATATTCTGTGTAAGCTATACATATCATTTCAACATGTTATCAGTAGAAAATTGAGATATTTCCTATTTTTTATACATATCTAGTCTTCAAAATCTGGTGTTCATTTCACACATGCAGCACATCTCAACTCAGACTAGACACTTTTCAGATACTCAACAGTCAGATACATGTGAGTAGCAGATATGGTGCTGGATAACACCACTCTAGTCTTTACATAATAATACACAGTTAATCCAAAAATAGGGGAGATGTGAAGTTGCTACCCTCACAGAGATTTCCTTCAGCCTGAGACTCGCAGCTCTATGTTAACCGGGTAGATTATCCCTAATTTTCCTAAAGGATGCTTTTTCAAAGTATCATTGTAAATGTATATACAGTGAGGGCACACATTATGATAAGATGTATAGAAGAAAAGAATTTGGTGACACAGACTAGCCGAGGGTACTAGCTGACAATATAAATTCATTTTGCTGCCAGTTTGTAAAACATTTTCAGTTGGAACTATCATGAAAAATAATTAAGTCTCTCAGCACAGGAACATATTAATAGAACATGTTTCACTTTTTAGAAAATCACAAAAGAAATCAATGTAAACAACACATGTTATGCAATACACCCCAATATAACATGGTTTCAAGTCATTCTTAGCACTGTTTAGTAATTCCAGTTAACAATTACTCACTTTTCCTAATAATTACCTATATATAAGAAGTTTCTAAACTTGGTGATTTTTATTAAACATCGAACATAATTTTTCCATCTATTTTAGAAAATTACTTTTCACTTAGTCTTTAAAGAAGATCTCATTATGATATATTTTATTCAAATACAATACAATTTCTTGATAGAAAAGACTAATATCCTCTGGCATGGGTTATAAATCACATTCTCTTCACACTTTCTAGAAGAAAGCCTAAAGAAAAGACATGAGGAACTTAGTAAGCTGTATCGATGCACTAAACCCTCTGTGACATTCAAAAACATCTCTTCTTCATAAAATGTAAAACAGCCTCTTTCCCTTGAAAAACGAATTAGAACTATTCATTTTCAAGTCATTAGCAAGACATTTAGATGTTTGTGGATGAGTGCTAAGGTAATAAGTTTAAGTAGGAAAGTTTTTAGAAATATGAAGATAAACAAGGGTGTACCAGAACAGAAGAATACTGGAATTCAGTCAGAAGGGCAAACGGCTAGTAAAGTTGTTTACAGGGACTTATCTGTGATGTTAAAAAGAAAGACATGTTACTAGCCAGGCAACTGTGAGTAGCAAGAAAAATCCTTGGATGTAGCCAAGTTAGTGTTTTCAAATTACTAAGAACTAAATGAAAATAAAGTGGTTTAGAGAATATAAGTTCCAGTTTATACAATGGCACGCTTTGGTAATTCAGCAAAAGAGATGTAAAATGCAAGTGTGTCAAGAGAAATAATACAGTCTCTTCTCCCACTCATGGTCAGGGAGCACTTGGCATGCTGTATTTATTCAGGGAAAGCACATTTTATTTGAAGCTGTTACATACTTTGTAAGAATTCAGAAGAGTCTGCTCAGGACGGGGAAAAGAGACTTTGAGGAATCATGATGACTGTCTTCTGACATATTAAATAAGGATCATTTAAAGAAAGCAAAAAATATCAGATTTCAATTCCCTAAGAACCCTTAACAATGAAAGTTATCCAAAACAAAGGAGGGGGAGTGAGAGACAGTAGTTTTTAAGCACAGGCTAAATGATTCTGTAATATAGCAGACAGATTTATGAATGAGATTAGGAGTTTAAATAGAAAATACCAAAAAGTACTTCTACAATAGAAATTAGAAATATGATGATAGAGTCTTAAAAAATAGTGACACCCCTGCATTTTTGACCACAAGGATAGTATGTTGATGTCATGATTGATATATGTAAGGGAATCTTTTGTTTTAATGGCTGAACTCAATTATTTCATTAATCCTGGACAACATATATGAAAATAGCTATCTGCTTTCTCCAAAGTTAGTGAGCCCTTAAGTAAATTCTGAGAACTTTAGAGGAGTCACCGCCATAATATTCATGGTGGCAACCCCAGACATTAAAGAATGGCTTTCCCTAAGACATACATTAGTGTAAACTGTTTTTTTCTGAAGCCACAAATGCAATCAAAGTAAAATAGAAGTCGTTTTCCTTTTTTCCCATAGCACTGCTTCAAAGGGGGTGAAAAGCCTAAAACTAAAATAATCTAATTTTAACTAAATTGCTGATGGCAAAAATTCTAACTAAATTGCAGTGAGTATGAGCTTCATTATGTCAGGAAGAGAAATTACAATAAATGTGTTATTCAAATACAACTTTTATGCATGTATTTGTGAATCTTGTAAATGTGTATTTTTATTTTCGAGTTAATAAAATGAACAATGTTGAAGTGCTCTTTATAATGACAATTGAATCTGCTGTTAAAAAAGATACAGAAGTGTGATAATTAATACATGAATTGCAGGAAATAGAAAAATACTGTGCTAGAAGCACGTATTACATTTCAAATAAAAGTTAATATCACTTTGCCACATACATCAGTCAATGTTTTTCAGAATCAAAAACAATATAATCCTATGTCATCTTAGTTCTCAAACATAAGCCAGAACACAAAACCAAACACTCACCTGGAAAAATAACACATAGAAATAACTAGAAACATTTTGAAAAATTTCTGCTAGCATTTTGACTGCCAGGAAAGGAGAGCTAATATTATCAATATTAAAAGCCTACATTATGTAGAATACTGTATGTATCTGGTATTAATGCGGATCAATAGGGGAAAAAACACTAAATCTAAATTTGCTATATGATAAAGATGGCAAGGTAAATTAGTAAAAAAGAATATGATGACTCAGAAAACATTAATAAATAATTAGATAGCCATCTGAAGAAAAGAATAATGTAGACCCTTAATCCATACATACAACAAAGTAAATTTTAGTGGGTTTAAAGAACAAATGCAAGAAATGTGAAAATTCACTTCCCTAAAATACTTTTAAAACAGCATGAATATTTGGTAACTCTTTGGTTGACAGAATTCCTAAACTTAAACATAATTCTAGAAATAATATGGGAAGATTTAAAAATTAAAAATAACACAGATTAAAGGCAAGGAAAATGTAAGAGAACATATAAATTAGTGGGGAAAAGGCTAATACATATGTACATACAAAAAAGCAAGTAGATAACTGAAGCGCCAAGGCTCCAACAGGTACATGAATAAGCAATAAAATGGAACACTAACATAGAGAAACAAAATCATAATCACTAAAGATAAGAAAAACTAGACAATTTTGTACTGAAAATTGAAAATGTAAGTTAAACTGAAATAAAATTTACTAATAAATTACCCAGTATTTTTTAAAGGTAACACTTTTAAATTTTGGCTACTTTAGTGCTAAGAAAAGGCCCTGCCCTAAATTGCTACTAGGAAGGTAAATTGCTACAACCTTTCTCAAAAGCAATCTGCAAAATCTGGCAGACAGACATAAATTAACTAAAGAATTAAATTACAAAATTAGAGGAACAGAAAAGTAGCCATTATGCAGGAACATGCAGAGACACTGGGGAGGATCCCAGCTTAGATCAACTAGAGGCAAGGTTTTTATTCCAAGTACTTGTCAAACTACCTGTGATTAAGGACTGGTTTTCTGTTTGACTTATTTTCTTTTGTTTCCAAACTATTTCAGAACTAATACTATTAGAATAATAAAATTTAAATAACATAAAGTATAAATCCATTTTCTTAAACTATGAGAATTAACATATAAATTACTCTAGTGCTAGAAATCTGACTAAATGTGTACTTTTCCTTTCTGTAATCATCTTGTGCTTAAGGACAGAAACTGGTCCATGGGCCACACTCCGAGCAACACTTTTAAGCAATGCAGTGCCTTGGACAAGTTAATACACCCATACATAATTCTCCCTTATTTTCACATTATTAGAAACAGTGTAATTTATCAATACATTATCGTTCAGAGATTTAATACACTAATTCTGAGAAAGTTTTAAAAGGATATTAGGCACAAAATTTGATTGCTCTAAGCTATCCTTAAAAACAATTTTGTTTCCTCTCATTTTAAATGACGAATGTGTAATATGATTTGCAAATCTGGTAATTGCCAAATATGAAGTAAACCACAGCAAATGTCAGCATCTCTTAAAATTTTAATTCTTTTTAGTCAATCCTTACCCAATTAACCTACATATTAAGCTATAATTCCAATCAAGATACCAACTGGCTTCTTGTGTGTTTTGTCTCAACAGAGATGTGGGGAAGCTGATTCTCAAATTCAGAGATGCATATTTACCTTGATATTTTGATAAAAGAACAACAATGGAATACATGCTCTTACCCTACCAAATACAAATCAATTCCAAGAAGCAACAGAAAATAAAATAATGTGATTCTGACAAAAATAATAATAGTGGTATAGTTATTACAAATAACCACAATAGCAGCAACAAACATTTATTGAGCATCTACTATGACCAAAACATGTGGTAAAAATTGAGCTTCATTACATCATTACTGTTCACAAACTTCCAAGGTAGATGTTATTATTTCCATTCATTATGATGAAACAAACTTACAGAGGATAAATAGTGAGTGAGTGATCTAGGAAAGAAAAGAATATATCAATGGGGAAAAAAATGGAGCCCAGAAATACACCTAATTTAATGCTAATGGTCACATTTTCATGTCACTAAGGGAGTGTATAATGAATGGTTGTAAGGCAAGAGATGATCAGATGATCAAAATATACTTAGATCCCACGATCTTGCCTACCAAGAGACACAAATAACATTTCCAAGTGTGTGAAGATATACAGCTAAAGAAATAAAACTAAACATTCTAGAAATGAGTAGTTTTAAAATAATTTTAAGTTGAAGAGTATCTAAGAGACACAACATTGAAGTAAGAATCGACTGCAAAAAATATTAAGAGTTCTGTAAAAAAAAATTCTATTTCAAAAAAGTAAAAGAAATATACTGAGAAAAATATTTGCAAAATATAAGAAGGGTTAATATCTCTAATATTTAAAGAGAAATAATGTAATAGGACAAGAAATTTAACAGTTGAGTGAAGAATATTAAAAGGAGTTCATAAAACAAATACAAAAAGAAAAAGAGATTCCCTACTTCACAAAAAAATCAGGAATATAAAAACTAAAAGAGAAATATTTTTCTTTCATGAGATATTAAAAATAAAAATTTTGATAATATCTAAGTCGGTGAGACTTGGGAGACACTGACACACAACTTCCAGAAAAAGACTATTCACATTGTTTTTCTTCTGAAAGCAAATCTGTGGTAACTATCAAAATAAAATATCTGGTTATTCTTCAACTCAAAGAAAGTACTCCAGGAATTAACACTTTATAAATGGAAATATATTCCCCCTTTGAATATATCATCTCTTATTTGTAGTACGCTGTTTCCCTGTTTTTTCTAGAAAATTCTCAGATATGTTTCATTACCAAGCTCCAATGTCCTTTCTTCATGCCCAGGCCATGTTTAATTCATCTCTGTATTTCTTAGCACAATTCCAAGCGCCTCATGGTGTTTGAAAGCCATGAAGAGGCAAGTCAACAAAAGACATAGTAGGCTGTTCAAAACCAAAGTGGGAGCACAAATGCATTTGCATGAAGTAGTTAACAACAATGGCTAAAGTACCCAGAATAGACTGAAGGTAAATAGTTACTTGGATACAGATAAAGTCTAGAAAGAGTTGTATTTTTTTCCCCTAAAAAAGCAGAAAATGGCAACATTCTTTGAGAGAAAAATAAAAAACATAAGACTGCAAAAAAACAAAACAAAGCTGCTTACATTGACCTTTCATTACCTCCTGGAGGCTATAAAACCTTTCTAATCACATGTAAATTAATGAAGCAGAATACTATATATGTGAATTTGACAAAAGATTTAAATTGTCATAATTGGAATTTGTGTCAAGTACAATTTATATAAATTCTTTGACTTTTACCTAAGGGTGGTTACCTTCTATGTAAGACTATGAGCTCAAAAAGCATTTGTTGAATGAATAAATGATAAAAGTTACCGACTGACTATATAGTAGTTAAGGCAAAAAAAGTCTGGATATGATCAAATCCTGTTTCAGAAATGACAATTCAGAAGAATGTTATGAATTATTATTTAGAATAATCTTGAAATCTACTTGAAAATTTTAATTCATTACACTAAACTTCTAAATTTTTGTTTATAAGGAATCCTAACATTAGAAAATTAATATGGCCCAGTAACCTATAAAGAAATACCAGGTTAACTTATAAAAAATAAACCAGGCTTATTTTATATATTTCTCTAATGTGTATTTTCTAATGTTGCCTTCATTCATTTTTTTCCCTATTAAGTGGTAATTGAGCCTCTATATAAAAAAAATCAAGCAGACAGTACTAAGAAGACAAAAAAGGAAAAGTTATAGCCTCTGACAAAACATCTTTGCAGTATTAGTAGGGAGGTGGTGCACACACACATATTAATTATGTAACATTACAAAGGAACTATAAAAAAACTAGTAGTGGCAATAATAATAATAATACATCTACTCTGTATAAAAAAATTAAAAATTAAGCTGGAGATTCAGTTAAAGTTTTCTGGGAAGGTCAAGTTTTACACCAGTTATTAAAGAAAAATAAATCAGTGAAGAAAAAACTACACTCAAAAAAATAAAACAAAATAAACACATTAAGCAAGAAACAGGGGTGGCAAAAACAGAAAAGGAAAACATCCTATGTGTTCGGCCAGAGCTGCTTCCAGTCAAACCGAACACAAGCTGCTGGACCAAATAAGGAAGCACAAGCAAAGGCCTAGGTTGCCACTAACTTGTGGCGATCTATCATGTAATCTCCTGGGTTCCAGTTTCTTTACTGGTAAAATGAAGGAGTGGAACTAACTTGTCTCCTAAGATCCTTTGACATTCTGATATGTGTTTCCTAATAGCCAATATTTTCCTATTCTAAATACATGCAAACTTTTCTGTTTTCATTTGAGATTAGATTGCTTTCTAGTCTGGGCATGAAGACAAATAATTAGATCATTTCAGCATTCCAAATCATAAAAACAAATTTCAAAGAAGAGTGCCAGTAAAGGCAGTTTACTAAACTCAGTAATAATGACCAAAAATTGTTACGGAGATACAGAGGAACCCACTATCACAATGATATATAGAAAATACAGCAATGGTTAGAGTCTTCCAAATCTGATGGATAAGAACATTCTAGCTATAAAGGTAAGATTACACAATCTGTGTATTCTTCTTTCACTCACTATCCTGATCCTTTTATAAAATGATCCTGAGACAGCTGATAAATCTGTTTTGTGGAATGGTATTATTATTCAAGTTGTTCTTTTTACTCATCAGACCTACTCCAAAGAATTTAATAACTTACCGCACGAGCTGAGTCACCAAAGTCTATTTTCAACCTCCCCATGGCCCTAATGATAGCAATAATTGACTGAATGGTGTTACTGTAGACCACTGCTTTGTACTGTTTACATTCCTCTTCCGAATAACCAGCTTCATGGATAATTCTAATGAGAAAAAATGGAAAAGAAAACACTTAACTTCCTTTGATGGAAGGTTATATTTAAACATAAAAAATATATGTTTTAAAATGTACTTACTTCATTTGCTTCACAATTGTACTTTTCCCAGATTCACCAGCACCTATAAAAAAGTAAAATAGTATAGAATAAGGGAACTTTAACTTCATATGTATATGCAACTCCCAACAAAAGACACACACACACGCACATATACATTTTATTTCTCTTTTTCTGTCTCTTACAGTTCACTTTTGTTTTATATCGAAACTATTTTTGTTTTCCAAACACGTAGACAAGTTCTCAAAAATAGGTCCCATCTATTTAATAGTTCATAATACTTAAATTCAAGAAATAAAACTCAACTGAAAAGAATGCTCTCATTGTTGTCTGTGTATATTCTCCAAATAATTAAACATTTCAATCTTTTACAGCTTAAATTGAAGCACTATAAATTAGTTTTTCAATATTTTGAGCTCCTCATTAGAAGATATTTTTAACTGTCTGGCCAATTACCATAATTTAACCTTTGCATCTTGTGATGTAGATGGCAATGACACCAAAAAGCCACATAAAAATTTTAAAATATTATACGTTAAAATAACCACATACCATGCAATATATGTTCAACCACCATTATTAAACAACTGACACATAGCCTACATGACCTGCTGCACCAGGGGCAACAGTAAGTACATGCAGAACAGAAATGTCTCCTCCCATGTTTTTCTATCTTCTTTGTCACTCAAGTGACAAGGGATCCTTAAGCCCATTCTCAAACTTCTCCTTCACTCTCTCTATATATAGGGTCTCCACACAATTTGAGTTCATACCAGTGGCCATCATAACGTGAAAATATTACTAATGAAATGTCCTTTATAAATTAGAGCCCTCTTATCCTTCACACTTAACAGCTGCTGGTACCCTTATATGAGTTAGATTATTTTTTAGGTTCATCCTGATTAGCAGATATCGAGAATATCTGTATATAGGACATAAAACAAATAGGATATGGACAAGTCTACTGTTTAGCTCAGCGATTTTCAACTGGTGTGCCACAAGAGTTTTTAAAACATGCAATACCTGACTATTTAATCAGGGGCACTGGCCTCCTTTTCATTAGATTGTCAAATAAAAACATGACAACTCCTGACACAACAGTAGCCGTCCAATGTGAATGAGACAAAATTACATCTATTTTTTGTCAGACCCGCAAAAAATGTAATATATATTTTTGGTGTGCCCCAGCATTTTAGTAATTAGTTTATGTGTGCCATTAGATGAAGAAGATTGAAAATCGCTGGTTTAGTTTCACGTTGTCTTTGGCCAGAGCTACATACATGAACATATTTATTACCACTTGACAGACAGGCTCAGGATTTTCATTGTCTAGGCCATATTCCCATTTTCCCAGCCATTCCTACAATGTTTTACCCTCCAAGCATTACTGAATACAACTTAGAGTTCCAAGAACACCTACCACTGATCATACCACTAATCTTCACAGTTTCTCTTGTCAAAATCTAATTTGTTGTCCTTCCTCTCGCCACCTTTACGATCCTCTATCAACCATCAAACTTATTTCCATCAGCCTTTCCTAACCCACTCCCCATGTGATCCCTGCACATTATTTGTTGCCTCTCTGCACATATTTCTATTTGAATTTTCAGCAGCTAACTTGCACTAGACACACAATCAACCAAAAATGTATTTTAATTTATTAAAGCTATTTATGATTGATACAATTAGATGCCACACTTCTGGGCTTCAGTCTCGTCAACCCTTTCCCCCTCCAGCTACACACAGACAAACACACCCAAATCATCAGAGGAATTTGATAACAAGTCATAGTTAAATGTCCTATTTGAAAGTCTGGGTGAAAAACACTGCCTAAATTTTACTTTTGATATGGTACTCAAAATTTTTCCCAAGATATCAGCGCATTAAATAGAAAGGCAGGAGCTGACTAAGCAATGAGGGCATTCTTCACTTACAAACATCTCTGTGTCTCTCAGGGCATCTGCCAATGAAAATAATTCCAAGATAAACAACCCATTATTTATTAATCAACAACAGTGCACTGTCTCTGTGAAAAGCACAGTTGTAGGCAGTATGGCTCACACATTTCTCTCCTTTGAGAGGTCACCCAGGTAACACACTTAGGCAGTTTCCAGCAGGGCTATCTTCAAGAATGTCCTGTGGGTTTCTAGAGCACTGTAAATTGAGTCAGCAGCAGTCATGCTGTGAGAATGGAACATTCTAGATCCCAGTATCCATACACAAAGGTGGTGATTCTATAGGCACAGTGAACATCAATGGATATCCAGCTACCTACAGTCCATTCTGGCCAGGAAACAACCCAAAGGCCTAGTGGAAGGCTTACTACATGAGATAAGCTAGTAAGGTCTGAGAACCATACGAGGGGAAAAAAAATCAGAAAACAGTTAAGAACATGACTGTTACCAGTTAAACTATATATGAAACACAGATAAGACGTTTTAAATCTTAATGAGAAAAAAACCCAAAGTTTTCCTAGTGTTAGACATTATCTTTAAATTCAAATTCACTTTGTACCTCTTAAAATAACTGGTGGCACGAAACACTTAGCTTACTTTGCAATGAGCATCTAGTTGAAGGCTTGTGGTTCAAAAAAATCCTGAGATCTGTTTAACATTAAAGGGTACGGATACTGTATTTTGCTTTGTATAATGCATACCCATGTTTTTGTGTGCATCATACATGGGACTATTATACCCATTATTATAACCGTGGTATGTAATCATTATATCCATGTATAATGTGCATCCTTATTTTTCCCTCAAAAATTTGGGCAAAAAGTGTGCATTATACACAGGAAAATGTGGTAGCTTTCTTATTAATTGGATTTCTACCTAATTTCTTGCTAGTCACAAGGTACTCTTTGTGGAATACTTATCCTAGAGGCCGAAGTGCTGAAAAAAGAACTTTGGAAGCTTAGCAATTTATGTAATTAGTTTTCAATTCTTTCTTCTATGCAGAGTCCTGGCAGGAAAATTACAAATGCAGCAGAGTTATGGTTCCACTAATCTAAATACTGGTATTCTTTCCACATACTGTACAGGAAAGAATTAAAGGTTGTTCTTAAGCTAGCACATTGATGTTTGAGAGACTGGCAGGAAGCAATACTGTAAAACAAAACAAAGCAAAACAAAAACCCTCACAGGTAGTAGAGAAGAAGGGAAGGGAGAAAGGGCTGAATTTTCCTAACAACAATTAGCTAGGAAGCTATTGTTTTTCACCTAAATCCAGAGGTGGGTTTAAAATGGTGCGAGTACCCTTCTTTCAAGAAGAAATAAGAACTATGTAACATGTATTGGTCAGGAAGGATCAAAGTGTGCGACCACTACACACTAGGCCAGGCTGGTTAAGGTGACTACTTGGCCTGTCAAGTAACTGTCAGCAGCCAGCCACTATGAGACTTTAGAAAAGTAGGAAGGGAGAATGTAATTGCCCAAGACACCAGAAAGTGTGCAATGAGGTCATTGTAGGCCAGTAACTAAAAAGGCAAAAGTGAAATCACCAAGGGTCCCTCAGGCCTCTAAAAAAGAAGTGACTGCTGTAAAACTAAATCTCTGAGGGCAAATACTGAGCACAACAGGTGCATAAAGTGGAGCATCTGCTGATAAGGCATCACAGAAATGGTGGAAGGCCACAGTGACACAGAAGGAACTCACCTGCAATTAGGGGCCAAACAACAAAGGGAAATGTATCAAGTTTGGACAAGGAGGGGGGCTAAAAACAAATCAAGATATATGTAAAGTAACCCTTGATTCTAATTCTTTAAACAGAATTATGCAACTTACCACTATAAAAATGATAATCAGGGTGTACCAGCTCCTGATTTTGTTCAGGAACAATACAGAAAATTTAAAGTTTTAACTGTTGACCTCAGAAAACAAATCCTCCCTCCCCGCCGCAACAAGAAGATTCTTGATCCAATTCTCTACTTAGGGTTATATGTATATCATTTATTTCCTGGCTTCAGGACTGTAAGCTGCCCAATATCATAGGCTGTCCAGCAGCTATTAAAATGAAGATTCGGTCATATTATCTTATGGTGAATGCCTAACACCAGTAACCTACTTTTTAAAAAATCCTATTTTTTATGTAGAATTATAACAGATTAAAATTTTAGAATTCAATAAAATTAAATTACAACTTAATCAGAGTAAAACCAAATTACAAATGCAATTAAAGTCACTTATATTTATCATAGTGCTACTATAGGATTAACAAGGTCGAGGTCTTTATATTTAAGGTGGAAGCAAATACAGTTAAGAGTAAGGGTAAATGTAAATGAAAAATAAGAGCCTTAAGTATCTCTATTTAAAGAAAAAGATTTTCCTCCTCTCCTTTAGAGCATTTATTTTAGCAAAATTGTAAGTAGTTTCTCCTCTTTGAAATGTATTTATGTGTGTGTGAATACATACACATATATATATGCACACATATATCTACACATGTATATGTTTGGAAATAAAAAAGTCCTTTCTTTTTGTCAGATTTATGACCCAGAATGTCTTTCACTAGGACCTGGGAGCCACTTCTTTGATATGTAAGCATCAAGAGAGGAGAAGGTGCCCCCACTTCCCAGTTTCTGTAGGAGAGCTTGATCCTAACTTGGGTGGGCGCCTGCTCTAAGCTGCAAAACTACCTCCTTTCAGAAAAAGTTTATGAGAAGTTCGTGTCTCCTCTGGATCAGGCCGATTAGCTAACACAGTGGACTCCCTAATTAACAAGGGAAAGTTAGGATGAACTATAGACGTGACATAAGGGGTTGTGAAGCCTCTTACTTTAGGACTAGTTATTGTTTACCTTGAAAATATGTATGTAATAGGTCTTATCACCTTGGCTATATAAGGGAATGAGATTCCTTTCTATCTCTGAAACCTTTAGTGAACTGCATGAGATGCACATCACACTCTCGTTCAATGCTTATTCAATAATAAGTGTTTTCTTTTTCTATTACCTTTGTGAAGAGAATTTCTGGGTTGGGAGAAGATGTTTCTAATTATAATTCCCAGCATGGGTAAGAATCTAAAAATCTTTTTTATTTACTACAAGAAGCTCTAAACTTACAGTTAA